CCTTTTTCCATTGGTGACATTTCGCCACTCATTTCAAGGGGGTGGGAGGGGGTGACTGGGCAGCTGGTACTGCTGGTATACCCAATGGCACCTTCTACATGTCAAGGGCCCTTGGGCCACCGCTGTGCCCAGCTCATAATCCTGGAAGGAATAACTCACACAGCCGAGGCAGATAGTGTCCTCTGGAGAGTGACCAAACTTACCCAAATAGTTGTTGCTTTTGTGCATCTCGGTGATGTTGATTTTTGTGGCTCCCTGGGGGATCTCGACCACTCGATGGTAGCCCAGGCTGGTGAGCGCGTGCTTGAACACACCGGACACCACCTGGCAGCCCGTGTTATCGCCTCCGCACACCCCGCACTTGTCCACGACTTTGTCGGAGCCCAAGAAGTCGTCGCAGCCGATACTCTGCAGAGAGGGGAACACACAAGACTCTTGTAGCAAGTGTCAGGAGCATCCAGGGAGGATGAGGGCAGAGGGCATGCCTGATGACCTCTCGGCAGGACTTGAACCTCTGGCCTTGCTCCTGCGGTCACTTAGCTCTCACAGATGGAGAAGCTCATGCTCTCCGTCACTCACCAGATAATAACAGAACGCCGATCCCAGCCCAGCACGCTTTCCAGGGACTTGTGAAATATACATCATAGGCGTAGGGCACGCACACCACAGCCATCGAGTTCATTCTGAGGCACAGGGGCCCTCCCGGGGGTCTCCCAGGCTGTAGATCTTTATTGGGGCAGGCAGTCTTATCTTTCTCTGTTGGAGCAGCTGGTGGGTTTGAACTGCCAACCTTGCAGTTAGCAGTCTAACAGCTCCACCAAGGCTCCTTAGGCATAGGGTAGGTGGGCTCTGCAAGTGATCTAAACCAGTTGGCATGGAGCCGATTCTGGCTCTTGGCAGCTCCTGCGTGCCAGAGTAGAAAGAACGCCATAGGGTTTTCAATGGCTGCTTCTCGGGAAGGAGATCCCCTGGCCTTTCTTCCAGACCCTGCCTGGAGAACTTGAACCTCCAGCTTTTTTTGGTTAGCAATCACTTGCCTAGCCATTTGTACCACCCAGACACTCCGCGAAGAACAGAACACAAGACAAGGAAACAAGCAGAGGGCCTGGGGGTGGGGTGGGGGGTAGGGTAAATGATCATCAGCTAGATAACCCAGGGAGCAAGAATGGAGGTTACACAGGGTGGACAGGGAAGTGGTTCCTCACATCCATACCCTTGCTGGGCCCTGCGAGGGAAGAGACGGGAACATAACGGAGGATCTCTCGGAGTCCTGGTTAAGCGCTGTATCGACAATGGGGTTTAGGCTCATTACTCACTCTAGGTTTTTTGAAAAAGCTCTATCATCCCCTTCTTAATTCCATTTTAAAAAAAGAAAAGAAGGATTGCTGTCTCTGGGATTCTTTTCCATTTCTGAAGCTGAATCCATAGTGTAGGATCACGTTTCCTAAACCCCAAATTGCGATTCATGGTGTGAGCAGAGAATTTTGCCATGTGTTCCGGCAGGGGGGAGCGGGCAGATGAAGGGAGTGGGCTCTAGTTTAGACGGCAGAATCCTGGAATTACTGGATCACTGCACTGGGTAATGGGGGGGGGGGTAATTCTTGCTATCAGAAGACCATTCTCAAACTTGAGACACATGTTTGCAGAATCACAGACTTGTCTTGGTTCTGGAATTTGAAGAGCAATTGATAGATCATGTCTCATGGGCAGAGTGGTCAGCCATAAATCCAAAGCCCACTTTCTGTTTTGTTAAACAGCCCTGTGTCTGTTCAGGTGGGCCCTAGAGGTCACCTTCTACGGCAGAGCCGCCTCGAAAGGGGTCCCTTCTCTCCCCTGCAGCCTCCCATTTGATTGACGTCTTTCTGTAGGCGTCCCCATCTACATTATTGTTTCCATACTCCTCAGTGCACATTAGTCCATCAGTCATAACTGGGCTCCCTTCACAAATAGCTTCTCTGTAAAACATTATTCCTGACCATCACGGAACATCATCTCAATATGTTCATCCACACCCAATTAGCTTTTCAAAATGCCATGTTTGCTCCGTCTTTCTCCTGCTTCACATATTTCTTGCCTCTGCCTCAAACACATTTTAGTAGAACAAGAAGGAAAATGCTTTCCGTGCATGGCTTTCACCTCCTTTCCTGTGTTCGCCCTTCTTTGGAAACACAATGATAAGAGGATGCAACCGCAGACCGAGGTTTGGAAAGAATTCATGTTCTTGCTGAGACAAGTCAAACCAACCTAAGAAGATACTCCTGATTGCTGCTCACAGGGCAGAAACGCTGGACAGAAACAATGGTCAGCCCCTACCCGCCCCCCTACCCCCCGGCCCTGTCCAGCGACATCTCACTCTTCTTTTCTTTGCTTTCCCATTACCCCTGGACTCAGTTTATGCCAGACTGAGCTCTCTGTCAGGAAGACACGCCAGGTAAAAGAGAAAATGTTGTCTGTTGATCTGTGTCTTCCAGACAGAGAGATTCAAGTCCTAACACGGGTCCTTGTGAATGTGACTGTATTTGGGAAGAGAGTCTCTGTAAACGTAATTGATTCATTGACACGATGTTATACTGGCGTAGGGTAGGCCCTCATCCACCAGGACCGGTGTTCTTATAAGAAAAGGAGAGGAGACATGGAGGAAGAATGGATGGCATGCAGCGACAGAGACGGAGGTTGGCATGATGTGCCTTGTATTAGTCTGGGTACTTTAGAGAAACAAATCCAAACATGTAGAAGAGAGAGTTTTATAGAAAGGTTAAGTGCGCATCAAGAAAACATCCCAACCCAGTGCTGCCCAAGCCCACAAGTCCAACATTAGCCCATATGTGTAACACCAATCCACAAAGACCTCCTCCATCTCACAAAACAGATGCAATGATACAGACTGCAGGAGGAAAGCCGAGTCAGTGAACGTGTAAGAATCGCACTGCTGGCAGGGGTCTCCACACGGCTGCCCCAGCACCCAGGGCTGCATTGGGCTAGGTCCATGTGGCTTTTCCTAGGGGATGTCTTGCAGGAAGTCAACCTTGCAAGCTGAAGCAGGGAACCGGCTAAGGCAGCTGCACCCTGGTCTGACCATCACAAAGCAAGAGACCCGAGAACTAGAAAGGCGAGGCTCACCGAGCCATTTATCCCTTCGCCCTTCAATTAACCCCATGTGTTTATCAGCCAGGTTGGCACAATAAACTTGCTACCTCACACCTGGAAATCAGGAGTGCCAAGGATTGTGCAAAACCACCAGCATTTAGGAAGAAGGCCTGTAACAGGCTCTCCCTCACCCCTCTCGAGAAGGACCCACCAATGTTGTGGACACCTTGGCTCTGGAGTCTTCCGAATTGTAAGAGAATAAATCCCTGTTGTTTTAAGCCACTTAGTTTGCGGTACTTTGTTATAGCCCCCCACCCCCGGGAAGAAACAAACTCACCCACACTCATTGCCATTGAGTTGATTCAGACTTGTAGTCACTGCGTTGGGACCACGTAGGGTTTGGTTGCATGGGGGTTTCAAAGGCTGGAAGTAGACCATGAGGCCTCTCTTCCAAAGGTGTCTCTGGGTGACTGGAGCTGTCAAACATTTGTCTCGCAGCCAAGTGCTTGGTTGTTTTTGCACTATTCAGGGACTCGGAGAACAATGACAACAAACATGTAGACAGGCACGGAGATCCGAAAAGATGCAACACGTTCCCAGAAGACCAGCAGACACACACAGTTGCTGGAGAGGGATGGTATGAACCCCCACAATCAGATGAATGTCAAGGGTCTTGTTTGTTAGGCTGAAGGATTTGATTTTTATCCTAGGGCATCACCAACAACAAAGGCCAGAAGAGAAGGTGGGGTATGCTCAGTTGTGGTTTTTCAATGATAACTTGTGCTTCATTGTAGAGGGGTCCCAGGGTGGGAAGAACAAGCAGTCCAGTGAACATGTCTTTCGAATAGTGTGCATGTGTGTTGCTGTTGTTCTTGGTGGTGTTAAAAATGAACAAGAGCTGCCAGAGAAGGCAGTCTTTGCATAAATCCTCAGCCCCCAGTCCGGGTAGAATGACATTGTTACAAGGAAATTACACAACCCTGCATAGCTCTACACAACCACAGAGAGTCAGAACGTCAGGGTATCAGACTGTATATTAAACTCTCTGCACAGTTTGGGGGCTCCCACACCAGATGTCCTGGCACGGTTACCCCAAATGAGTCTAGACATGGGGGGTGGGGTGAGGTCTAGAGTACTCCCCTCTCTCCCTAAGCAGTCCAAAGATTTTGGAGGCCGGCTTCAGTGGGGTTTGTGGCCACCGGAACTGTGCCAAAGGCCGGAGTCAGTATCCTGCCTCTTCCCAGACCTCCCTGGAGTCTGAGTACCAAGCAAACCTTCCTTGGCAGCCGGGGAAAGGATGCGACCTGAATGGAGCATCTCTCTAGTGGGGACCCAGGGTCTCCAAGAGTCTGGGTTGCCCTGGACATGGCCAAGCACCACACCCAAAGGAAAGACAGTCCCCAAATGAGAACTGTGCAGATGACATGCACTCAAGACCTGTGGGGCTGTGGGCACAGTGCGTATCCAACCACTGTTCCTTCTCCTGCTGCACACAGCTATGGTGAGGATCACCTGGTACAATGGGGTTGGGGGGAGGAGGTGAGGGAGAACGGCCAATTGGATTGGGCGTCCAGGTCCAGGGAGGCCATGGCTGAGGAGGTACCTTTAAACTAGAATCTGGGACACAGCTTTTCAGGCCGAGGAAACAGCAAGTGCAAAAGCCCTGAGACGGGTGACAGAAGACCCCTGTGACTGAGGCAACGGTTACTGAGTGAACAGCAGTAGGTTGCAGGGGCTCCCTGGGGCGCCTGGGGTGGAGTGTAGTCTGAGGACCATCAGAGGGGACCGTTGGCTCTAAGCTGAGGCAGGGCTGTCCTATATCAGGAAAAGGAATTCATTTGTTCACTAAATAGTGATTGGGACCAATTAAGTATCAGGCATTGAAGATGCTATGGTGAGCAGAACAGATCTGGTCATGCCACTTGTAGTGCAGGGGTCAGGGCTCCAGTTGTTAGTAAAGAGTAAATAAATAATACATTTAACATGGATACCACACTCCAAAAATACATAAATAAATAAGAAGTGGGGAAAAAAAACCTATGACGAAAAATAAATTAAATAACCACATTTCAGTACTAATAGAGAACAGTGGTGGATGCTACGACAGACAAAGCCATGGGACGTGACGCCATCAGGGACACTGGACGAGCTCTCCTGAGGAAGTGAGGATGGGGGCAGATTGGAAGCAGGGACTTCCTACAGTAGATTCTGGAGCGGCTTGTTCTCTGTACGACAAAATGACGCTTATTCATCACCCTGAAATGAAGCAAATAATGGCCAGAAACAGTAGAAAAATTCCTCCTATGGAACATATAGACACA